TACTTGTTATTTTGTAGCATCTAGTGTAACTGTGTTAAAATTTAGTCTCTTGATTGACACTAAATTTTAACTTCAGCTCGGATGTTTGGAGCAAATGGAAGAAATTGAGGGCTCGTGCCTCCAGGTGCTGGATAGCGAAGTGTTCTGAGAGGTGATTAAAGAATTTGGAAACTCTGATATATCTGGTAATTAATGAAATATATTCTGTCAAATTTAGTAACGACGGATATCACGATGATTTCGTCGAGAGTTGAATTTATAAATATATATGTTCCGTCAAACTTGACGACGACTAGATCACAATGAGTTCGCAAAGGATATAAAAATATATATATATGGTCTACACAGATATGAAACTAGAGACACTCGTCCGTTGATTTATCGCAAATTAACAATATTTTGAAATCAATGTTATCTATGGCAACGTGAATAACGGGATTGGCACGATTTATCTATCAATGCGAATATGATACGGCAATGATCGCGAGATATACCATAGAAAAACCCAAGGTTGGTTGTACAAAGACGTCTGAATGCCTATCCGCATTCACACGAGACTGCACGTGTTTTCTTAAGAGACTGCTACGCCTGAAACCGAATACACACGGTTTGGAGAAGTGGTGAGCGCGTTCAGGATTCACTTTGTGATCAAATGCACGATTGTGGATTTGTCGCAGCACTTTCCCACTCGGCCGATTTCTCGGAGGAAGTGTTCAGGTGGAGACTTGTACGAAGTCGAAACCAGGTTATGACACCTAGGAGTTCGCCAAAGGGTACGAGTGTGAGCTATAAGTGTTCTCCGGTGACGGACGACTGATTTCAACAGTGCGAATCCGATCGTAATTTCCGCGGAATCCTACTGTGACAACTTACCCGAAAACGCTCACCTCTCACCCGTTTCCTTCAGCAAAAGACACAGACTCGCTCTCGTTGCATACCTTCGTGAATTTACTGCTTTTGACTACTACGTGGTCACGCCGGAATGGGCGTCGTTACAAATCACAATGCAGCAGTGTCACGGCTCGGTTTGTGCTCGTGACCCCTCGGTTTGAGGCGCGTATGCAACGAGAGTAAGATAGGCGGTTTGACTAAGTTACTTGATCGGTTTGATCACACGATTGGATACCGGTTTTCGCTAAAGGAATTGTACGTGCTGTCGCGGTCGCTTCCAAACGTAGAGTGCCGGTCCTAGTTCTCGCATCGAGCTCCTTCGATCCAGGATCGAGTGGGATCGATGCGCACGCATCCTCTTTTGGTAGGGTGCTTCTCCTAATTTCTCCTCCTCACAGGAGCGATTCCCGGTTTCTGATAAGGGGCACCCCTTGACTAGCTCATAGTACGCGCGTCGATCTCCCTTGATCGGATATCGAGTGAGAATCGAGGCGCACGCGTGTCAGATGCCGCGACTATCCCGAATTCTCCTCTTCACGAAGAAACGTAGGATTCAGGCCTTCCATGAGTGGGGATCGCCCCTTCATCGTCTATGTGATCGTATGTAACCAGCACGGTTACACTTTTTTATATAAAAATATTCATAAATGAATGAACAGCAGCTGTTTGAAGTTGGCTTCTCAAAAATGCGCCATGCAACGCATAGATCACTCTAATTATTTGAAATCAAAAATCCACCAATTTTTCGTTAAAATATAGTAATACGCTTTGCATCAACCTAGATTAAAAAAAAATTTTTTATTTTAAAATTTCACGCCATGTTAAAAAAATCTTGTTATAAAAAAAATGATTAAAAACATTGTTTATTTCAATTTTTATAAAAACCTTTAGCTTGATGCAAAGGAGAATAGTTTAAGGAATATTTTGTGCCAAGTTTCATAGCAATCGGCTGAGAAATCTCTAAGCTACATTGCACGGCACGCGAAATTTTGTGTTTTGAGAAAAATGCGTTTAAAGTTTAAAGGTCTAAAAATAGTCCTTCGTAAAGCTTACAAATTATTTGAGGTTAAGCAGCTATACCAGGGCCGTATAATAAACCTTCTTTTTCCTCAAATTCGCTCAGTAATGCCGCTGGTTTCCCTCTTCGGGCAGTTGTTTCTTCTTTTGTGCCCTCAAGGCGGCGACGCTCCTGTCTGCTAATACGGTGCATGGCATACGTATTGGCGAAATGCTTACACTGGACTCCGATTTGCAGTTGTAAATCATTCATAACATTTAAAATGAAGGTGTATCTTTCATTAAACATGTCGGCAGCCAAATGTGCAGCAATTTCAATGATTTTTGAGCCGCAGTTGAGATATTTAGGGGCCAGACGCCACACAGTAGCGTTAAAATTTTCATTTGCGTTTTGGGTATAGCCGCCTAAGCATGTCTCAAGCAAATCATCGTGAAACAAAGCTTTGTATATTGGGAGGATGGCCTTTTGCACGTCTGAATGTAGTGGAGGGGAATAAGTAAAAGCTTGTAAATTATTTTATACTTCGGCAATGCGATAAGCACACCATGAGTCGCATCACTTTAATGACTCTGTAGGTGCACTTAGACTTCAAAATTTTAGCTGAAATGGTCGGAGCACATTCTCCAGATGGTAAACTAATTTTCTAAACGAAACAAAAAAGGTCAAAATTTTGAATTTTACTTAACCCTCCCCCATTAATTAGTAAGGTAGGTGGTTTTGTTTGGTAATACTTCATCCAATCCTAGTTCTACGTTACTATTCTACGTTAAGTTTTAGTGCGAATGCATTAATAGAAATAAAATCACTGTTCGTTAGTTTCAAATAATTTATTAGAACTATATTTATCGATACTCTTTCGTATTATCAAGAAATTTACACCCAACTCAAATTGAAAGAATTCGCATTCGCCCCGATAGAATAATTTCATGTCTGGCTTTCTTTCGTTTACTCGATTTTCCTAAGAAAATTGAATTTTTCCCATTTCTCCCGCCTCCCATTTTCCAATTTAAACCGCCCGGAAAATCGCACGAAGCAAACTTACAAGTAGACTCCGAGTCGTGGGAGCGAAACAACGTGACTTTCAATCCCCCGTTCGGCTTTGTGTAGTACAGTGCTGTCGCTTCTCCGATTCTCCAAACTAAATTGCATTTACGGGACTCGACGAAAGTTTCGCTCGTTGTTCTCGCAACTATTTCTTCTTCGAACACAGCCGAGTCGATCGGGGCTGTCTTCAAGTTCGTGTAAACTAGACGTCTTAATCGCGGGCTTCCTGTTTTCGTTCAATCTTCATCATTTATTGTACGTACTTGCGTTAAATTACTTATAAATTAAGTTAGACATTTGTATTCTATTTAGGTTTTCTAATTTTTTGATATATTGGTAGGAGACTTCTTGGAATTTATTTAACAGTTATTAATACGGAGGATTGAAAGTCGTGCTGTATCGAAGTTTACTTGTAAGTTTGTTTCGTGCAATTTCCTAAGGAAATTCAATTTTCTTAGTGAAATCGAGTAAAAGAATGAAAGCCAGACACGAAATTATTTTCAATTATTTCTTTTATCCTCAGTCGGTGAAGTAGAGTATTTTGTCGATAATGCAGTGTGTTCTGTCGGTAAAGCTCGATAAAATAGAATTGTATTTAGTCGATGCTTTATGAACAGAGTGTTCCCCATTGGCAATGACCTACATTATCGACCCAGTGCTCTACATTACCGAGCTTTATGTTTAGCATACGTTGTTCATATTTATACAAGTCATAAATACGTAAAATTCGCAGTCCTACGATAATATTCTTAAATTCTTCGTGTGGCTTTGGTCTAAACAGTGGTACGAACGAAGCTATCCTCGACAATATGAACCTGTACAGGCGAAATTCACGCGAGAACACGCCCATTTTAGTGCACTTGTCCTCGTTGTCGTCTCGGGGCGCAGAAAATTGGATTTCGTCGACGAGGAAGAAGCTTTTGTTCGGTCGGGAATCAATTTTTCGAGATCATCACGACCACGGGCCTCCCAGGAAACCTATTTGCTGGCTCCCAGGAAGCGTTGAAGGGTAGCTAACCGGGGAAGGGGGAAACGAATTAGTCGGGCGTATCGTAAATTACAACAGTTGCGCGCTCCTCGCCGAATTTCGCGTAATCAGAATTTTGCTCAAGAACAAATATAAATAAAGTGAACCAGCGGTTAAGTTTACAGTGCTCATCTCTCGTTTATTTTTTGGGATATCAATAAATTATGAAAATAGATCGTTGAGAGTTTATATTGTTTTTATTCGCTGTGTAAATTTATGTTTGTCAAGTATATTGGATAGACTATGGAGTAGGAGAACGTGCGATGGGGTTACTTTTATTTAGAATTACAATTGATGGCAATGGTACCTTAAAATTAAGCAAAAGTAGTCAAACTCAGAAATTTTGTTGGGTCAATGGAGACTCAACAAGTCCTCCCATGCAAGACTTACCAAATACTGTTAGGACTACCGTACATTTTCAGTCGACACAACTTTCACTTGCATTCTGATTGCGATTGTACATTGTAGATTGTTAGTCAGAACCACTAGAACTCTCGAGTGACACGCTCAAATCTTAGAGACGCTCGTGGTCATCTAGACGTAGCAGTACCAAGTCGCATATTGTACTTCGCGACAAACTAATTATAGTAAATTTTATGCACCACAATTTGTCTATTTTTCATTTCCCTCTGACGAGAGTGGTCCTTCGACAAACTCGTCGGCACACACGTGCAAACGCCAACAAAACTCAAACGCCATCCCAGCAACTGCGAGTAGTTAACAAATACAAAGGACTGACGTAACCTCAGTAGCATAAACTAATCACAATAACTTCTTCCCACATGTTCCCTTGCTTCTCCACGGTTCAGTCTGTCTATAGATCTAAAAGATGAAATAAATTACGTCCCATCGTATCTGCAACTTTAAGAATCCTCAGAAAGGGGAGTCGACAGCCAAGTTGGCTCTAAAGTCTGCGGCGACAAAAGCTCAAAGCTCGATTCCCTTTCGAGGCAGGCAAGTGAGGAACGCGGACGTTTTCGAGCTCGTTTTAATCTCGACTTTTTCCATTCGTTTTTCCAGCAAAGGAGCTGAAAATATGCGGCAGCGTGAGAAGCGGCGGAGAGGTCTGTTGCTCCGCGGACATGGAAGTGAGACTGCAGGCGAGGGCACGTGACAAACACGAGAAAGCCACCAAAGAAACTCTTCAGCGACTGCATCAGGTCCTGTCGACGAGAGGGGCCAGATTTCACAGTGAGTACTTTCCCTAGACTTTCACGATTTTAATCACTTCACGGCCAAGTCTGCGTGAAATACCGCCCAGGGTTTACACTGACAACGAGCTGGGGTGGTTCGGGGGCTTCTCGTTGAATCGGTCGCTGGAGATGCGACGGATTCAACGTTTTCGCATTAACGCATTCAATTCGAACCTTCTTCTTCTGGGCCCTTTAAAGAGCGCCACTCAAACGTTTAACGAAGAGCAATTCGCCATCTGTTGCGAAACGCGTGCCAGACGCTTGTGTTTAAACAGATATTGTTTTGCAATTCGGTACGTTGTGTAGAAAAGGAAGAGGATCGATAGGTCTCGCTTTGATCAAATTCAACGCTCGATTCAAATTCAATTAAGTTGAATACTTTGGCTTGGGTTCTTTAAAGTGCGAAACAAATAGTCCAATGGTCCAAATTAGTTAGGACTATCGAACGTCGCGATTACGATATATTTTAGATGAAGATTCTGTCGATAATACAGTACGTCCCGTCGGCAAGGCTCGGTAATTTAGAACCCTAGTTAGTCGGTGGCTTTATCGACAGAGCCTCCTGCATTATTTCTAGTGCAACCTGCCTTATGGACTCACAATAGGTACATCAGTGATGGGTAAAGCCTTAGGCATCGAATAAATCTGAAATTTGCCGACTTGTTTGTCTCGTTTCCTCTTTTGAATATTTTCCAAAAAAGGAAACGAGACAAACACATCTCTGCAGTACATATCCTGCATTACCGAGCCTTATGTTTAGTATATGTCTTTTTTACATTTCTATGAGATATGAATGTGTAAATCTAGTGATAACATTCTTTAATTTCGAAACAAGCCAAACTGGCCAGCCTACTAACCCTATTATTAACCCTTTGCGCTCGGGTGGCGCTTCTAGGGCGACATATGTAATTTAAAAATGACTTTGTGAACGTACAATTTCAAATTCACTTACATCAGAATACAACTAATTATTAATTGAAATAATAATACATCGAGTCATGAAGGTTCGTAGATGTTTTTAGTTTCACAGAAATTTATTATAAAAATGGGCTGGATATCATTCTATAGAAAAATGCCTCGAGCGCAAAGGGTTCAAGATGAATATCGTAAAATAATAATGATAAATAGTAAATTCAGATATTATTTTATCATTGCACTCGAAGACACAATGAATCAGAACAGTATGCACGTGGCATAGTCGTTACCCTCTTTTCAAGGAGTTAAATTAAAGCCTGTTTAGCAGACTGTGAAATTAAACTAACAAAATGGCACGGAACAAACTAAACAATAAAAGCTGTCGAAACACAGCCCTCGGCCGTCATTCGCAGACTAATGTGCTCTCAACTTCCCTTCAACGAACTCGTGGGTAATTTCCAACTCGACTCTCGGCTATTGTGGAATTAACTTTCGACTAGCTTATCCTTCGATTGTGTTAAGCGGACCGAAACAACAGGAATATTATATCTTGAGTCTTTACGCATTTATGAATTTTTATTACTATTACTACTCGTGCCCGCTTCGTATAAACAATAGACATTTTAATAAGCTTCTTTGGGAAACAATAGTCTTTAGAAATAAGCAACTTGATTCTTAAATTGGAGAGAGATTTGCCACCTTCGAAATAGCGGTATTCACGAAAGGTATCCACGAAATGCTTGGTGATTGTTTATTTTTTATTGGGTTGTCCAGAAAGTTCGTGCCATTTTTAAGAAAAATTCAAAGGCACGTTTGAATTTTGATATATATTTATAGAATTATATAAATACCATTTTGTTCCACGACCTTTCCACCTTTTAATTATTTTCCACCCATGTTAATTGTTTTCAACCATTCCAATATAAACAGACGTGTACCACCTATCAAAAATCGGCACGGACTTTCCAGACAAACTAATATTTTTATAAAACAAGACACCAGACTCCTATTTAATACCACCCTACTTTGTCAACAAAATAAATAGATATCTCAGCCTAGAAGATCCCCTAGCAGTAGAATTTAAATGCATCGTGTCTATGGACAGTTGTCTCATAGAAGCTAAGAGGAATGCAGAGCGAAGGAACTGCTAATCGGTCCACGGTCGCAGAGAAGTTAGTCGCTCGAGAACAACTGTTAATCGCTTTACCGTTGAACAGAGCCCAGACCCCGACTGTTGCGAAACAATCCCAGCTCCAAAACGGGACGAAACGCGAAAGAACCCCGTCGCGTCGGGAGAGAAGAGGAGAGCCGACTATCCTCGTCAATTATGCCGCCTCTCGGTCACAAAAGGACTTTTCAGCGCGGTTTAATCGGCTGGACGTCCTCCGCGGCAGGAGGGACGAGTGCCGTCGACAGCCAGAAACGAGGTTCCACGGCGCAGTGCGCGAAGAAGCACCTCGAAATGAGATTTCTGGAGTAACGGCAACCCGCGAACCTTTCTTTCTCGTTTTTCTTCGTTAACGAAGGGGAGGCCGTGAGGTTACGACAAGTGAATCTTCAAAGATAGGGATCAGACGTGTCGCGAAACAACTGTGCGATCGTGCGTTCTTCTGTCTGGGGATAAATGTGCAAATTAAGTGGAAAGGAATTGCATTTATTTGGTAATTAAGTAGATCTTATTTAAGGGGGTATTATCATCTAGAAGTTTGTTTTTTCAGTAATTTTTAGGAATTAATTTTGCGAAAACTATCAAACTTACAGTACCAGTGTTTTTTATGCATAATAAAACACGTTTCAACTAACAACACAAATTTTTATGAAATACTTCATGGAAATCTATACAAGTCATGCGCTGTTATGCAGGTTGTGACGTGAGACGCTCGTTCAATCGGGCGCACAGGCTGTGGCGGTTCTAGTTGTCTGAGACAGAAAAACAAATTTTTTTCTCAATCTATATGAATGTAGTTATCGTCTGAACTAGAATTAAGTAAGTACTAAATTTTTTATCGGAATCGCAGCTGTTTGAAAATTTGGGTTTAATTTTCCCGGAAAATTGTCAACTAAAACTATGAGAGCAGGGCTAAAATATTCAAGCTATCGGTATAATTCTAGTTCAGACTATAGGTAATGGTGCCCTCGAAATGTGTGTAAAACCAGAAGTCAGTCGGTTCAATAGTTTTTGAGAAAAACGTGCGCCCGACTTGAAAAATATCGTTTCGAGAAAAACGCGTTTAAAGTTTGCTATACATTTAACACTAATACTGTTGAACTGCCTTTAAGCCTCTGTAAATATGAGAGCTCTACGAATTTCAAATTAATATTTTAGAGGCACTTTCTCAAAACCCCAAATGATAAGAAAATGCACACAAAAAAAATCGAATTTTTGAAGTTTCTAGACGATAATAGCCCCTTAATGGGGTGTAAAAGGGGTCCTTGTAAGGGGTGAGTCTATAGGTTTTAAAATGAGACGAACAGTGAAAAAACTGCGTCAGAGGAATCGTTTTGAAGTTATTAACCCTTTGCACTCGAGGCCTTTTTGTCTGGTATCTATCACCAACTCGAGATGCTTTCGCCCATCGCACACGGGCGCAACCGATCAGTTTCAACTCTGAAAACTAGTTGCATGCGACCGTGGATCTAGGTAAACAAAGTTAGTGGAGTAGGTAAGACAAAGAGCGCAAACGATTTGCAACACTAATTTCAAATCAGTTGCACCGTGTGCGATCGGCCTTAGCATTCTATTGTCACGAATGCTAAGCTTGGAGTGACTTCGAAAATGAGATCCCCAATTTGAGATTTGAAAATCAGATCACCTTTAACTCAACGACAATCATTTTATTGACACTTCGAGTTCCAAAGAAATTGAACCTAAAGGAAACCTAGTGGTGACTGAGAGTCACCTCTCGAGTGCAAAGGGTTAACATATAGATTCGATGCCTCTGCCGACAGGCAACCTGCTCGACAAAGAGCGCGGGTTGTCACTCGGCAGGTGCCTCGAGAGTGGGCCACGTGAGTGTAACAAGCTATAACTTCATTATCAGTAGATTTAGAGAGAAACGTTAAAAGGAAAAGATAATAAGTGTACTGCACTAGTAGGACCATGCTTTTTTAATAAATGCAACAGTGCACATGCATTTCTATTAAAAAAAAATATCGATAAGTATCGATTACACATTTTCTTTCACGTAGGTTGATTCCTTTCGTCACTCTATGTAAAAAAAGTATTAGGGTAAAGTGGTAAAAAAATGATTCGTTTACGAGATATTCGAAACAATTGTCTGTAATGAAACAAGGCCTCTGCCGACTGGCAACTCAGTAATGACGGTGGTACCAAACCACATGTCTCACCCACAATTTAACTAAAAACGAACACGTCACAGTGTAAATGTTCAGACATAGAAATTAAGTTCCACTTCGAACTTTATTCGAGTTTTTTTTCCCCAGAGTATTTTCAGTAGCACTCAGGTGGCGTTTTAAAATTATTTGAACAGTATTTTCCGAGCACTTGCTCTCACAAGATACAAACACGATAGATTATATTTCCTGGGGTTGGAAAGGAGGCTATTCAGCGGATTACTCGCTTCGTAATCAAGCAGTTCGTAAACCGATTTCGTAATGGTCGTTTAACGTCGCCATCGCGCGCTTAATAACGACAGAGACGCGCCAGGGTTATTTGTCCTCGGGGTGGACGCAGAAAATATAGTAGCTCGTTTCAGGTTGGTGAAACAGTAATTTTGCTAATCTTTTAATCCTCCCGCTCGGTTTTGCAACGACGTAATCCTCGTTCGATGTCGTGCCCGCCGATCTCGTTATCCAGGAACTTTTTACTCGCTCTTTTACGACGCTGCAGCGTTTCCCAACTAGAGATTTTAAAGGTTTATACCGCGGCATTAAATATTTGGTAGTTGCCACAGATTATGATTCGATCCGAGGTGAATCTCTGAAATCTCTGGCTTCGGGTCGCTTCGAGCGAAATATAACACCGGGAGGATTCAAGCGGTAGTAAAATGGGGAATTTCCAAGCCAGACGATATGCAAAACAGAGAATTTGCAAGACAATGGCACTGCTGGTTGCGGAGTAAC